TTATTTACGATTAATGCGCAAATGAAGATCCAACTGTTAATGGAAGAGATAAAGAGGTAAAGGCTGCCTGCAATCATTAACATTAAAGTATTCATAACCTGAGCACGTCCTTCTCAAGCAATTGCTTTCTTAAGCAATCAGCTCAGTGATTGATGCTTGCCTCCATCATCTGTATGAAGACTTCAGTTATTTTCTCTTTCCTTAATGTGGGTTTCCCCCCCAAGCAATGGAAATAGAAAATATTATGGCTCAAATAAACTCCTTGGATCTCATCACACTCTCAGATTTTTTGGTTTTCCAACAATATTTTGGGAGCACCTGCCGTGTGCCAGGCACTATATGAGGGAGTAAGCAGGAACTAGTGCCACGGACTGCTGGGTGAGGTTGGGTGGACTCTCTCTCGGTGCTTCACTCATCCACATGACTCATCGTATACAGGATACCCTGGAAATGCCCAAGGAATCATGTATATTGGATATCCCCAACTGCAGGTGTTTTTTAAAAGACTAACTATGGGTAAGAAAAGGGGCCATATTATATGGAACTTCTAGGGAACTGAAATGGAAATATGAAATATCTAGTCTTGTAGTCCTGTGAAGATCGGGTTTTAAAAATATGAGCTCCAGAATGAGTTGGCAAATTCGTTGCCACAAAGATGGCTAGAGTGATCTGGGAATGTAGTTCAATAACAGAGCACTTTCTGAGTATGCCGAATGCCCTGGATTTATTCTCTAGCCAAGAACAGGAGACTTAGAGAAGCAGAAGCAAGACCAAGGATACAGGGATGGCTCAGCAACTCTTTAGAGATTCTGATAGGTCAAAACGCTTGTCATTTTTCTATAGACCAATGGAAAACTTGGGCAGGTGCTTCCAATCTGGAGAGTGAGGCTGAGTTTGGGGAGGGCAGGAAGGCAAGGCAGCACTGAGGCTCGGGGTTCTGTGTTGGACAGCGCAGAGCACCCCTGATGGGAACTCGAGGGAGGACAACGATGCGATTATTATACTAGGTTTCTAATTGGAAGATCACCATCCAAACTAAAAAAAAGTAAGCTCAAGCCATGAATGTTAAATATTTTGTTTGTTTGAGTAACTATCAAAAGCTCTCAGATGCCAAATTATACACTTTTGTTTTCCAAAATTAACGATAAAACCAAGCGTTCCACGTGAGCACACGTGGGAAAGAAGCAAGCGTTACAAGCGGTGACCCATGTACCAGTGGGCTCTGATTTCAACACCCTCTATTCAGGTACTATATAAGCTTAATACAGAGTACAACACTGATTGTTACCAAGTATTCAATCATATTCCAAGATTGAGTACAGTTCAATTGTATGTAGCTTTACACTGAATTGTGTATGTCACACAAAAATTTAAAGTATAATCACTTTTCCATGTAAACCGATATTTACTATAAAAAACAACAAATATATTCATGGATAAGTAAAATACAAAACCTCATTCCTTCTATTACAACAATCAGAAGATGTTTAAATGACTAAGTTAATATCTTGACTTCAATCATGTGACATTCAATGAGTTCATTGAAGTATTTTTATCTTTGTAATAAAGTTTAATTCTAAGGGATGAATACTGTTGATATTAAGCTGTATAAAATTATAACTTTGGGGACTGCAGAGATAGCTCAGTGATTAAAAACATTTCATGTGCTTGCAGAGAACCCAGGTTCTGGTTTCAGCATCCATGCAGTGGGTCCCAACCATCTATAACTCCAATTCTCAGGCATCAGACTCCCTCCTTGCGGACACCAAGCATGCTTGTTATGCACATACATCCATGCAAGTAAAACACTTATACACATAAAGTAAAATAGAAAATAAATCTTAAAATTCTGTTCTTTTTATTACTGGGTAGTATGCAATTTCTTTATCCATTTTCTCATTAATAGACCATGATTGGTTTCATATTTTGCTACAAGGAATAAAATTTGCTATGACCATTGTTATCTATGTTTTCCTTTGGACATATGTTTTAATTTCTCCCAGCTGAATACCTAGAAATGGAAATGCTAATGCTGAGGTTAGATGAATATTTCATTTTATTACCAGCTTTCTGCATGGTACATGCTTTCTGCTTTATATTTAATTTATTGGTGTGTTTAGATGTCATAGTACATTTCTCATAAACAAAATGTAGATGCATCTTCCCTTTTATTAAATTATAGTTTCTTTCGAATGAACCATTTAACTTCTTTATATTTAGACCTAATTATGGCTTTATTAAGTTCCATTTAATACTGCTATATTGGTATTTGGTATTTGTTCTCTGTTTCCCATCAACTATTTGTTCCAGTATTCATCCATGCCTCTCTTCTTTGGGGTACTTATATATTACATTAGAAAATATTCATAGTCCATATTTATTATCCAATTTTATGTACTTTATTGGCTTTTAGCAGTACTTATTTGTATGCATGTTTGTTTCTGCATGGCTTAGCAGTAAATGCAAGATATGCATGTTTACCACAACATCACTTTAAATAGGATTATACTGAAGAACAATCTACAAATTATATAGTAATAGAATGTCACTTCGTGTAGTGTGATGTTTTACTCTTTTGGCCTTTTGAGAGGCCCACCACCCAGATCCCAAATAAATCACACATGGAGGCTTATTCTTAGTTATAAATGCCTAACCTTAACTTGACTTGTTTCTTGCCAGTTTTTCTTAACTTAAATTATCCCTAATACCGTTTGCCACTGGGCTTTTTCCTTTTCCTACTTCTGCATATTTTACTGTAACTCTTACTCTGTGACTGTCTGGACCCTGACATCCTCTTTTCCTTGCTCAGCCTCTTTCTCCTTTCTCCTATCTATCCTCTCTGCCTGCCAGCAATGCCTCTCCTTGCTCCTGCCTCACTATTATTCAGCTCTTTATTAGACCATCAGGTGTTTTAGACAGGCAAACAGTCACAGCTTCAGAGTTAAACACATGCAGCATAAACAAAAGCAACACATCTTTACATCATTAAACAAATGTTTCACAACATAAACAAAAGTAGCACACCTTAAAATAATATTCCCTAGCAACTTAGTCTATGTTCCATTCACTGTATTTCATCAGATATTTTAATTATCCATATCCTATAAATCTCAAGGTCCAAGAGACTCAAATTCTAGTAAGACAAGTTCAAAGAAATGACGTGGGTATGGGCTTTCTCCCTCACCCCCACCATTTGCCATCTTGCAATCAGCGTCGGCTTGAAGATAGACAGGCAAAGCCAAAAGCTGTGGTGAGATTAAAAACCTAAGGAAGCTTGTTAGTTGCCTGACCCCAGAGAGATTGAAAATGGAGTTAAAATATGGGTGGGCTTCAGATAAAATGCTCACACATTCAGGTGAACCTCAAAAAGCCAACAGCCTGCTTGAGATGAAACTGGAACTACACCCACCTCACAAGGACTAAAACTCAGTGATGACTAGCTTCAGTCCTTGGGTTCATGCTTATGGTGATTAGATGAAGTCAGCATCTAAGGAAGATGAGCCTTTTCTGGAAATAAAGCTCTGACATTTTTACAAACATTTTTCATGGCTCACTAAACAACATATATATATATAATTTAAAACATGGGGGCGGGGAGGCAGGAGAAATCCCGGACAGAAGATCTGGGTACTAGAGATGGACTGAATATTCACTCTGAGTAACACATGAAGGGTGGAGGGCCAGAGTAGGAGGAGATAACCCAGAAAAATTAAAGTTTACACCAAAATTATACCATAGAAATGATAGCATTTATAATGAATATCTGAAATCAATGTGACAATAGAGGCCACCCTCGAATCCACCAGAAACTAAAATTAAAGTGACTTAGGTGCAATGGCAATGTTGTGACAGTGCCCATACAGGGCAGCAGACACGTTCCTGGGTGGTTAATGGTTACTTAAGGCACATAACCACTTTGGAAAGCAGATAGAGCAATTTCTTAGAAAACTAAATGTGCAATTTTTCTTAAGACTCGATATCGTAGCAACTTTGTTCACAGTGGCTCAAAATAGGCATTTAGTTGTCTGTGACTATAATAGATAAAAATTAATCTGTGAAAAGTTTATGTAACATTCAATATTAACAGTAATAAGCTGTTAATATGAGGTGAACTGTGTCCTCTAAACAGAGACAGGGAGGTTCTATTCATAGTACAACTAAATGTGGCCTGGATTAGAAATATAGTTGTTAAGAGGTAATCAATTTATAATTGTAGAGTGACTCCTCAGCCATTAAAATTGATGTCCCTATAAAAGGTAGAAATCAGGCCTTGGCTCAAACCCAAGTACTAAACAGAAAAAAAAAAAAAAAGAAACAGCAAACAAATAAAACCAGTTACAACAGCAATAACAAAGCAGGAAAAGGCAGCAGAAATTTGGACAAAAGTATAGGCACAGAGAAAAGGGAAACTGGGAGGCAGGAAGTAGACCCCGATGCAACTGTACAAACCAAGAAATGCCAAGAGTGATGGCAAACACCGGAAACTGGAAGGAGGCGGGATTCCACCTGGACTTAGGCGTCTGCTCTAGTCCGGGAAGACAGATTTCTAATGTGTTTGAAACTTGTGTGTCCCAGCTGTGCTACTTTGTTTTAAACGCCCTGAGAAACTAATACAGCTTCTTAGGTGTTTAATAACATAAGGTAATTTCAAAAGCACAACGATGGGTAAAAATGTCTTCTGGTTGAAGAATGCCCATGTGTGGTTTACTTTATAGGAAGTCTAGAATAGCAGTTTTTGCATTTTCCAAATCCTGCAAATGATTTTGCAATTTGTATTTTGGTGTATGTGAATTCTTCCCTAACAATAAACTCTGTAAAAGAAATACTGAACTCTAGACAATGATACTGATGTATGTAGGGGGAAGTGATTTGATGTTAGAAATGTAACTATTATAAAAATGACTGGTGGGATCTAGTTGGCAGATATATAGGTGTATGTAAAACTCCTTCCACTTGTATATATTTATTTTCATGGTTAAATATGAAGTATAAAAGAGTGTATACTTACCTGGCAGGAGATATACCATGGTCACGAAGGTGGTTTTCCCAGAGTGAGACTTACCCACTGCACTCTGGATGTGCTGGCCCCTGAGATTTCCCCAAATGAGGGAAACTTGACTGCATAATTTGTGGTAGTGGGAGACTGCATTCACACTCTCCGCTGGGGAAAATGTAAGACAGATACTTAGAAGCAAATTAGATACGACTGAAAGAGTTTAGTCAACTTGAAATATGGAATTCGAGACAGAACAAAAACTATAGAAAGGAGGCTGGGTATGGTGGTACACACATCTAATTCCAGTACTCAGGATTCAGAGGCAGGGACATCTCTGAGTTCAAGGCCAGCATGGTCTACAGAGGTCTCTCTCTCTCTCTCTCTCTCTCTCTCTCTCTCTCTCTCTCTCTCTCTCTCTCTCTGTGTGTGTGTGTGTGTGTGTGTGTGTGTGTGTGTGTGTGTGTGTTGCTGTATTGCTCTGGCTGGCCTAGAACTCACTATGTACACCAACATGGCTTCAAGCTTACAATACTCTCTTGTCTACCTCCCAAGTGCAGGGATTGCCGGCATGCAACACCACATCTGGATCCAGATGCACTTTTTAAAAAGAAGATAGCTAAGGTTACTGCAAGGCGATGAAATACTTTACAGGGTGAACAAAAGTCTAAGTAGGTGCACTTAAACTGTCGAGAACAAAGGCAAAAAGAACTCCAAGCTTTTGGCAAAGCTGAACCAACTTCTCCACAGAGGAAAAGAAATGAAACACCAACAGAAGAACCCTCCAAAGTGAGATGCGTGGCTATTGCTAGGTTTCTGTTATCTGTGAGACCCTGGGGCAAGTCCTGTCCAAGCATCATGCAAATCTCTTTAGGAAACAGAGGGTTGGAAAGAATTGTTTGCATGAAATCAACCAGCTAATCAGCTGATAGAGATCTAAACTTCACACATAAGTCTCTAAACATAGTCATCCTATATATCTTGTTGCTCCTTGTCTGCCCCCCCCAGGTCTGTGTGTCCAGTGAGGTTGTGAGTCCCAGTGTTCCCAGTTTGACAATCTCCTTGCCAACTCTCTTACTCATAACAATATTTTTGGGTTACATTGAAAAGGGAAAGAGAGGCACCTGTGATAGAGTACCAGCGACTAATATTGGATAACAAGAGTACAGATCACACTGTTGTAGATATGAGAATGTGACTGCAGATAGAATCCATGTAATTGGCCCCTTTCCTCAGTACACGCCAATCATGTGCTCTCCATCTTGACACTAGAGTGCAGGACTGGAATGCTTCTGGCTGGCTTGTTAGCACCATATTCTAAAGTATATATCACTCTAGGAAATTGACAAGGTGACGAGTTGTCACTTTAGCTAAAAGAATATCATACTTTTAATGAATATTATTTTCTAAAGAAATGTGCTGATGACAGCTACTTTTGGTGAAAACAGCATGTGTGTGACCTTTTGTTAAACAACAAACACTACGTCAGCAATGATGATTCTCAAATTCTGTACCAGATGCTAAAACATTTCCTGAAAAATGAGGTCGGTCTAAGGACAAGTACATAAGGCTTGATAAACTATTTTAGTATACTGTGTTAACATAAAGATCCTGGGATAGTTTATGAGTGATAAAGTAGGTATTTATAGCCCAATAATATTTTGCTTTTTATACAGTTTTTCTTTAAATCTGTGTTATTTCAATAAAATAAATAATACGAGTTTATTTAAATAAAACTAAATTTTATTAGTATCCTTGAGGGAAAACATTTGAATATGGCTCCTTAGGAGTATCTAAGTTATGAATAATAAATCATTTTCTGACACTAGCTTAGGGCTTTAATATTCCAGGATTTTATATTAGATGAAAATAAATATTAATTGGAATACTATTTATATTTTTGAACTTCCTCATAGTTGCTTAAATAAGCAAATATTTATTTCTTGATAAACTTGAAAGGGTGTCTTACTACATAACAGTGGAGAATATAATTTCTTTGACAGCTTTTTCTTTTTCTTCATATCTAAGTCGCATAAGTCTTGACCAAATAGTCCTGGTTACTACTATCAATTTGACATCTGAGTGGATACTCTCAGGTGATAAATCGGTTAGCTCACACTGATCTTGGGCATGTCTGTGGGAGCTTTCCGTTGTGGATTGATATGGGAGGGCCCAGCCTGTGTGGACAGCATCGTCACAAGGCAGGTGATCCTCGACTATAGAAGGAAGTTAGCTGAGTATATGATGGCCCATGAGCCCCCAAGCAACATTCCTCTGTGGCTTCTACTGTGCTCTTTTTGCTGTGAGTTCCTTGGTTAGAGGTAAAGCCCTGTGGAGCAGCAAGCAGACCAGCCTCCAAGTTCCTGACTGAGTTCGGGCCCTGACCTCCCTTAATGATGGGCTATAACCTGAATAGCTAAGGTAAATAAATCCCTTCTTCCTCTATGTTGCCTTTAGTCACAGTGTTTTATCACAGCAACAGAAATGAAACCAGAACCCAAATTTCCTGGAAGCTTTTCAGATAAATCTATGCCACATTTGAAAATCATTTGTTTCAAATTTGTATGTGCATACATTATACATATGTTGTACTATGTATATACATACATATGTTCAGGCACACCTACCTATCTATAAACATATATACACTTGTATACTGGTGCATAAATTTATATACATTCAGACATATATATTCATGCACACCTATCTATAAATATATATACATTTGTAGACCTATGCATCAATTCATATATAAAAACACAGCACACACCCGTGTGTTTCTAGACTATTTCATGATTGAGCTGAAAGTCACAACTTCATTGCACATTTGTTGTTTCTCCCAGATGCCATGTTAGCTAGAGCTGAACACATAGTGACCGGCTGGACCATTTCCCCCGTCCTCACAGTGTTTCCCAAAAGGAGCACTACTGGAGTTAATGTTCATATTTGAGGCTGAGTCAGGGTGCTGTGTGAGTCATATCATGCTCCTCCCTATAGGTGAGGTATAGTTGCTACCTTCTCCTTTAATTATGTTTTACATTTTTCTTCACTTTGTCCAATTTGCAAAACTGACTACAAAGTTTTTCCTAAATCTCATCACAAATTCTTACCCAAAACAACCAAAATTCAAGTAAGTTGCAGAAGAAAGCTTAATAACATATAACTTATTATACTTTCAGGGCATCTCTTGGAGCTACAATGATAAATTAAATTATATTAGATTCCTCAATAAAGAGGAAACTATGTTCTCAAAAGCACATAAAATTATTTCTAAAATTAAAAATTCAGAAGTTAGGCTTAAATGAATGCCATCAATTAATTTTTATAAAAGAACTAGAGACATTTTGAAAAAAAAGTTCAGTTATGTTCAAAATGAAAATTATATAAATAGCTTTATATTATTGAGAAAAATTATTATGATCTGAGAGACAGATCTAGCAGGCTTTTTAGCCTTCAATTAAAAGTATCAATTCTCTAGCGTCACCCTTAAATCATTACCCACAAAGGAGCAGAGCTCAGAGAAGACTTCTCCTAGAGACTTGATGGTAACCGGTGAAGGATGCTCCTTGCTGCTTGTGGTTTCATGGACCTCACAGATAATGAGATTTGAACAAAATACTGTCTTAATGAAATAGTTAAGTTTTTCAAAGTGCAAGGTGCCATCTTGTCCAGTGATCCCGATGGAACTTTAACAAGGTGTCTCCCATGTGCAGTAGACCTTCCTGGATTTCACATGCAATGGCAAGCCTCTCAGTGAGGCTCTTCTTGCTCAATTCTTTACAATGTGAATGAGCAGAGAGCCGCCTCTGGGTTGCCAGGTGTTTCCAGGGAATCCACAAAGTGCTGTATCCATGCCTGACTGCTCTATGACAGTCTGGCCAGTAATGAAAAAAGAAAGCTGCAGCTTTTTCTGGTTTTCTTTTTTACTATTTACCTGGGAGTTGCTTAGAAGGAAGTGAACTAGAAGGCACCCCTGTGTCCCTGGCCATCCTGCTCACTCAGCCTGTGTCTTCGCTCACCCCAAAAGCATTTGCCACTCACTGCACATTGAACTGATGTAAGCAGCTAGAAATACGGGAGCCTTGTGGGGAACTTTTACGAGCGAGCTGAAAGTGGCCAACTCATTTGTTCCAATCTTCTCAATGGTGCAAATGGTCTGCAGAATCCCAAATACCATAATCGACCTGAAACAAGATGAAATGGACCATTTTCTGTGTAGTTTCCCTTTTTATATATAAAGATGGGGGTGGCGGTGAAAGGATTTGCTGAAATGTGATAGTTGAAATAACAGAGCCGTGGAGAGGGGGGGGGAATCAAAACATGCCTGCACAGCGATGGCATCCCCTACACTCCGAGCACCACACAAATTGGTCCCAGCAGTTTTCTCTTTAATTCAGGATTTATGGAAACATCTGAGATTATAAAATTAACTGAACAAAAACAGATGTTATAATTGTGAGGGGGCCCAATTCTTGGATGAATACCAGAGCTAAACATTAGTATATGAAGTGGAAACATTTTAATTCGGGTTCCTATCTATCAGTTTGCAGGCTGATGTAAATATTCTACAGGAAGATAGCCATCTAAACAGCTTGGAAAAATGAAATTATGTTCACACGAATGGCTCATTTCTCTCCCTTTGAAAAAAGAAGGCAATGACGATTAAAAAGATAATTTCCTGGTTTCTTAATCAATATTATACAATCCTCCACCTATATTCACAACTCTGAGGAAAGAGACATACCTCAGATTTCTCTTCCACACTGGCCTTTCATGTTACTCTGGGGTGACAGGGAATAGCTCTGTTGTTCTCTACTTTGAATATTTGTTGGGAAGGAGCAGTTCTGGGCAGCGTTTAGCTTTTGGTCAGAGATGGCTCCAAATAAAAAGAGGAAATGACACTCTGCTGTTGGAAGGAGCTATCTAAAGGTACAAGAAAACATCCTTTCCCACTAGACTGAAACCAGACATTGTAAAATCCTGGAAATTGTCCCTGGAGAAACAGCAACAACAATTCCATTACAAAAGCAGTTTTCTGGTTATAGTTCCACACAAAGGCTGGGTGTGATTGTGCAGGTGCTGCACTTTTAGCCTGCCTTTGCACAGAGTGTTCAAAAGAGTGACAGAAATGAGACTTAAGACCCGCTAAACAGTGTGTTCTTTTTAGCA